TTTTTATTTATGGGGGGGGGGGGGGGGGGTATTTTCATAATTATATTTTCCTCCATTATTTTTATCAGCATAACAACAAGCGTTATTGCAATACAAACGTGATGCATACATACTTTATTATTTAAATACATTATATTATTAATTTGTTTGCATTCAGAATCTGGTTAGCTGTCTTATCTTAATGGTTTTAAAAATAGTTTCCATTTTCTTCATGCAAAATATAATTTCTGGTCACAACCGCCAATAACAAACTCAATCCATGGTTATGTAAAAAATAAAAATTAACTTTGGTCAAATGTTGGCAATAATTAAAATTTCTTTTTATGTTTTTGAATTTTTTTAAAATAACTTTGGTTGAAAGTTATGAATAAATCAGATATTTTAAAAGGTTTTTGAGAGAAGTCTCTTATGCTCAGTAAATTGAAAAGACATTTATAATGTTACAAAAGATTTCTGTTTAAAATAAATGCTGTTGTTTCAAATAAATATTATTCATCAAGAATTCTAAAAAAAAAAAAGTATCATGGTTTCCACTAAAAATATCAAACAACTGTTTTCAACATTGACAATAATAATTTCTCGAGCAGCATATCAGCATATTAGAATTATTTCTGAAGAATCATGTGACGCTGAAGACTGGAGTAATGATGCTGAAAATTAAGCGTTGCATCACAGAAATAAATTACATTTTAAAATACATTCAAATAGAAATCAGCTATTTTAATATGCAATATTTCACAATTTGTCTGTTATTACTGTATTCTTGATCAAATAAATGCAGCCTTGGTGAGCAGAGGAGACTTTTTTTCAAAGCATTAAAAAGGTAGTGTAAGTCCTGACCCTCTCTCTGACCCTTAGAATTATACAAACTGATTTTTCTGATGCACCTATAAACAAGCAAGATAAGTCCTGTTTTCCAATAAATCTCCAATTTGATTTGTAAAATTGACAAGCATCATGTTTTAATATAATTAAGCATTTTTCATCCCTCTGTAGGTGTTACAACTGTGGAGGTCTGGACCACCACGCTAAAGAGTGTGGCCTTCCACCCCAGCCAAAGAAGTGTCACTACTGTCAGAGTGTCACACACATGGTGGCCCAGTGTCCCCACAAGAGGGCGCTGTCCCCCTCCACGTCTCAGGACCCCCAACGCCCCTCCACCTCCGCTCAGTCCCAGGAAGAGGGGAGCCGGTCGGGCTCGTCGTCCTCTCCGGAGGAAGCATCTCAACGGGGGAGTCACTCCCAGCGCTGGAGGAAAAGCCGGGACTGAAAGCGAACGAAAGGTTCCTCATCCAGACGGAGCCCGGACCCGAAATCATCTACCTCACATGGCCGGGTCACCGAGGAGACCCTCCCTCCCTCCCTCCCTTCCCGTGCAGCTATGGTATCAGCCGATGGGGGTCATGCGTGTACAAGCGTGTTCTCACTGAGCAATCACAACAAACTCTGCGACTGGCGTGTGTGTGTGTGTGTGTGTGTGTGCAAATGAGCGAGAGTGTGTTTGAAGTACTAAAAATCACAAGGCAAAACAGATTACACTTAGAAGAAAAACCTGAACCAGTGTTTTAAAAACTCAAGCATGAAGGCAACAGATGTTGCAGTTTGCAAGCCATTTTACCTCCATAATAGTGAAATGGGCTTTTGATTCAGTAAAAATGTTTGCCGTGTGCTGCATAAGTGACGTCAGTGAACTCGTTTCAGAGGAAAAGCAAGTTATCATGTTACCTTTGGGATAACATGCAGATAAAATGTTCACTTTAAAGGAATAGTTCACCTAAAAATGAAAATCGGCTGAATATGTACCATCAGGCCATTCAAGATGTTGATGAGTTTATTTCTTCATCAGAACAGATTTGGAGAAATGTAGCATTGCATCACTTGCTCACCAATGGATGCTCTGCAGTGAATGGGTGCCGTCAGAATGAGAGTCCAAACAGCTGATAAAAACATCACAATAATCCACAAGTAATCCACACCACTCCAGTCCACCAGTTAATGTCTTGTGAAGTGAAAATCTGTGTGTTTGTAAGAAACAAATCCATCATTAAGACATTTTCAACGTCAAACCATTGCTCCCGGCTAAAATATGAGTCCTCTATTATTCCTCAATTATATTATTTCCTCCAGTGAAAAAGTAATCTCTTTTGAATTAAGAGAGAAATATGCACAGATCGAGCAAAAACAATCCAAAACTTTTCTAAACAAATATGTGGGTGGATTTTTATGTGAGAGGACAACAGCGGAAGGACTTTTTTATTTATTGTATTTTTTTTACTAGAAGAAGTGTTATTATCGATTATGGACTCTTATTTTGGCGAAAGCGATGGATTTTCACTTCACAAGATGTTAACTGGTGGACTGGAGTGGTGTGGATTACTTGTGGATAACTGTGATGTTTTCATCAGCTGTTTGGACTCTCATTCTGACGGCACCCATTCACTGCAGAGCATCCATTGGTGAGCAAGTGATGTAATGCTACATTTCTCCAAATCTATTCCAATAAAGAAACAAACTCATCTACATTTTGGGTGGCCTGAGGGTGAGTAAATTTTCAGCAGTTTTTTTCCCTTTATTTCTATTCTTTTAAGATCAGGAACATGCATTAGGAAAGTAAATATGATCAAGTTTGATTTCATGTTGAGTTTAAACCAGATTCAGACATAATGACAAAGAAAACTTTGGGTTCTCTAGCATTTTGAATTGCTCGCAATCAGTGCCCACAGGGGCCAGCACAGATTTATTATGGCTGGGGGTGGTTATAGTCACGCTCACTACATCCTATCAATAACATTATTATGGGATACTGAGGAAATTTGAATCGTTTTTGTGTGTGGGGGGGTTGTTTTTACATATGGCTCTCAGATCAGATGCTGTCAGCCAGAGTTTGAGATTAGACTGTAACAGTTGAAGACTAAGAGCTACATTAACGTCAGCCAGAGAGGACTAACTAACTGATTTAAACGTATTGCCAGACTGTTCCACAGCTCACAGTGATAATTTAAGGCATTAATATATGGTGAAATATTATAAATGTTAAAGTGTAATTTATATAGAGCACATAGGTAGATGAAGTTGATTCTTTTCGATGCCGTTTTGATTTGATCTCTCTCCTCCCTCATGCATCTCATGCAGCTTCACTGAAAGCGAAGGAAACAATGCTATGTTCAACACTGTTGGAATTACCGCAATGATAAAGCTTTTTTTCACCACAGAATAAAAAATACAAAAGGTATTTGCATCTTTTATCTTAAAATTCTGGCTTTTATTCTCAGAAATGTCAGGAGAAAAGTCAGAATTGTATGAGAAACAGTTGCAATTACTTTTATTTTGTTATTATAAATAAGCTTCCATAATGACGAGATTCTGTCTTCAGAAAAGTTGTTCAACTGTGTCATACTCTGAATTACAAATAGGAAACTGAGTTTCATAAAAGCCTTATTTTCTCTGGTTGTGACTTCATGTAAAAAGACCAAAAATGACGGTGGCCTTAAAAGTGATTTCTTTGTCCTCGGAAATGTTTCAAGAGTGTATATTGGTGAATTATTGTAATGGATGGATGGTCATTGAAGCATTTTGCTATCATCAACAACAACAACAACTGATCATCAGCGCAGCCATCTGCTGTTTTGTTCTTCAGTAATTTGTTGTTCTGTTTCTTCCGGAACAACTAATAGACCTTAGTCAGGTTAGTGCCATTTCATTTCTGACAGGAATGAAAACGAGGAAGTACAGTGCATTCAGTGGATTGTACTGTAGTTTAACAAAATGCCAGTTGTTCAGCTGACAAAACATCTTTCCATAGAAACTTTCAGGAGACAAAAGCGCCATAAAACAGTTCTGAAAGAAGTGTATTTTGAGATTGCCGGGTTCAAATTCTAGTTGATCGAGAACGTTTATATCGAGCTTTGTGAGCCCGCTGATCCTGATCTAAACCAGGTTGGATTTGTTTGGTTTTGTCAACTCTAAACCTACTCTGAAACTCTGAGTTGGTTCGTCTCGCTTCGTGGTACAGGCCACAGTTGTTTCACAGTCAAAAAAAAAGAATTTGATGAGACGGAATAGAAAACTATTGGAGACAGTAACAACAATAGACAGTGACTGTGTAAGTTTAAACGAATACAAAAAACATTTTAATCGCTCTTAAGGGCTATGCGTTTTGTCTGTACGTGTGCGCTATACTTGACCAGTTGAACCTCCCGCTTGTCATTACGGTAATTCCGACATAATGTAAACAGCATTATACCAACAACTCCACGGCAACATTTAAAGGGTTAGTTCACCCAAAAATGAAAATTCTGTCATTAATTACTCACCCTCGTGTTGTTCCAAACCCGTAAGACCTTCGTTCATCTTCGGAACACAATTTAAGATATTTTTGATGAAATCTGAGGGCTCTCTGACCCTCCCATAGACAGCAAGGTACGAACAACACGAGGGTGAGTAATTAATTACAGAATTTAAATTTTTGGGTGAACTAACCCTTTAAGACCACTCGGCAGAATTCAGCAGTTGACTGATGTGTATTTTTGATCTTTTTGATTTTGCCTTGTTTTCAGTGATTGTCAAAGACTTGTAGAATATTGACCAAAATACCGTTCAGTTTGGCCTTTTTAAAATAATAGTCTATTCTTATCTTTATGAAGCTGACCATTTAAGCTTCATCAACTCAAAATCAGTCTTGTGTCCATGCTGATGTACTCCTAAACAAGTTGTTGCAGTGCATATGTTGCATACAAAATTTTTTTGTCACAGGGTCCAGTAAAAAAAAAAAAAATCACATTGCTCGCTTTTTCTCCCATTCAGCTAATGAATGTAGAAGCCTTAGATAGATCTGATCATTTAAAGCTGCTGGCAGAGATGTGAAAGTTAAAATCAAATCTGCTACAATCATCCATTGAACAGTGAACAACTGAACAAAAGTGCACTTGAACAAAGTAAGCATTGTTTACCCAGAATGCCATGCTGTGGAGATTTGCTGTTTAATGTCTCAAAGTCATTGAAAGCTCCAGTGACTGCCAGCAATAATTTCAGCCCCTTTTCATTCTGTCGACCTTAAATACTGATGAACTTTAGAAATCCAAGAGAAGATTTTCAGTAACACAAAAGGGTTTATAGAGTGTTACGGCAGCGTTTCATCTCCTAGACGTCTCTCATGTTGTCCTGATCTGGAGGGAATGGGAGGGTGAATCTCATGAGACACAGCAGTCATATTTGACCTCAAAAGAAAGAAATGATGAATTGATAAATTGTATTTATTTTATTTTAATGAAAACTTTATAAAGCATATTTTACCATTTTAAGACATTATTTTCTTTGTAATTAAGCATTTCTCCTCACTTTAATGTCAACAAATCTCATTCTCATTATTGTAATATTTAAATAATACTTAATAATAAATAATATAAAAATTTAAATATTTAATTTCTAAAGTGTTTATACTTCATGGTAGTGTTGCTGATTTGAATAAAATCATTTTATTGCAGTATTTTGCAGTAAAACAATGAATTACAGTAATGTGAATACTTGAGAATAATAACAAAATAATAATAATTATTATTTTTTTAAACAAAGTAATGACTATTTGGAGTGAAAATATGCTTATTTTTCTTTACATAAATCTTAATTTGTGACCCTGGAGCACAAAAGCAGTCTTAAGTTGCTGGGGTATATTTGTAGCAATAGCCAACAATACATTGTATGGGTCAAAATTATAGATTTTTCTTTTATGCCAAAAATCATTAGGATATTAAGTAAAGATCATGTTCCATGAAGATATTTTGTAAATTTCCTACTGTAAATATATCAAAACTTAATTTTTGATTAGTAATATGCATTGCTAAGAACTTCATTTGAACAAATTTAAAGGCGATTTTCTCAATATTTAGATTTTTTAGCACCCTCAGATTCCAGATTTTCAAATAATTGTATCTATTAGGTTAAAACCAACCTGGTGTTTTCAGTAATGTCGGTGCTCTTGTCCAGCAGATACGCTGCCTCTGACACTAATGAGCCCTGTATCTTCTTAGCCTTCTGATGGATCTTCATGCCCAATATCAGCTCAAAGCCCTTCTCATCACGGGAAGCCACGGGAATACGTGTGGGGCAAACAGATTCTGCATGAGAACACATTGAACATGGTCGTTATTTCAAACACATTACCACACACAGTGCATCATAAGCTTTCAAACAAGCAAACTAATTTTTTTTTAAATGCTGTCTCACATTAATTTCAATCCATTGTCATGTGACCTCACTAAATGTGATAATCCAGCTGATTCACAGGAATGGTTAAGACCCTGGAGCACAAAAGCAGTCTTAAGTCGCTGGGGTATATTTGTAGCAATAGCCAAAAATACATTGTATGGGTCAAAATAATAGATTTTTCTTTTATGCCAAAAATCATTAGGATATTAAGTAAAGATCATGTTCCAT